TTGCCTACCTGGGGGTAAGAACCTGACAAAAGAAGGTGCTTCCCAGGTGCGTCTCGTTCTGCAAGTTGATTTCAGCCCAGAGTTGTCTGCAGAGCAGCTGCACCGGAACTGGAGAAAATAGTGAACAGGCAACATTCCTCAAACCAGCCTGAAGGAAAAAAAAAAAAGTTTTTAGCACGTAGTGGCTTTTCTTACTGAATCACTTAAAATACTACTGCCAGATATTATGTGTATTTAGAATGTAAGCATGAAAGCAAAGTGCACACTAAATAGCAAAACATGCTACAATGTAGCAAAATCAAAAGCCCGTTTCTAGATTGTCAGCGGGAGATGGAGGGAACAGCAAGCGCCATCCCTGTCATTGGTGAGGCTCTGCTGCCCTCGTGTGGCAAAATTGCTTCTCTGCCAAAAACCCGTGTTTTTCTCCTGGAGAGCATCTTTTCTCCCTACAATCCCCAGACTGACCTCAAACTCAAGGCGATCTTTCTGCCTCAGCTTCTTAAGTGCTGGAATTATAGGCACAAGCTGCAAGCCACCACACACGTCTTAGAGAGTATCTTTAGATGTTTAGATTGATCGGGTAGATAGATGGATGAATGGAGACATGGTTAGAAGGGTAGGCTCAGTGGATAGAACACTTACTCTTCAACCATGAGGCCTGAGTTTGAAACCCCAGTACTCACCTAAAAATCCAGGTGTGGCTGCATATGTCTGTACTCCCAGAACTAGGACGCAGAGACAGGTGGATTGGAGAGTTCATTGGCTGGCCAGCCTAGCCCAAACAACGAGCTTCCAGTTCAGTGGGAGACTCTGTCTCAACAGCAACACAGCGGAGAGTGGTAGAGGGAAGCATCACACTATTCTGCTTAGTTTTTCTCAACTTGACATAAATTAGGATCGCCTGGAAAGTGGGAGTCTCAGGTGAGGAATCATCTCCATCAGATTACCTGTGGGCATCTCTTCGGGACTTTTTCTTGGTTACTGAAGATGGGAGGAGGCAGCCTGCTATGGGTGGTGCCATCCCTTGGCATGTGGTTCTGGGATGTACGTTAAGAAAGCAGGCCGAGCCATGGGGAGCAAGGCAGTAAGTAGCATTTCTCCATGGCTTCTGTTTAAGTTCCTGCCTCCAGGTGTAAGCCTTGAGTTCCTGCTGTGACTTTCTTCAGTGATGGGTTAACTTGTAAGCCAAATAAACCCTTTCCTCCCCAACTTGCTTTGGGTCAGTGTTTTGTTTTTTTGTTTGTTTTTTTCCAGACAGAGTTTCTCTGTGTATCGATGGCTGTCCTGGAACTCACTCTGTAGACCAGGCTGGTCTCGAACTCACAGAGATTTGCCCACCTCTGCCTCCCGTGCTGGGGTTAAAGGCATGTTTTATAATGGCAACAGAAAGCAAGCTAGGATACCTGCTCTGGCTTCCGTATGGTGTACCCACACACCCTCATGGTGTACCCACACACTCACATGGTGTACCCACACACCCACATGATGTACCCACACACTCACATGTCTGTCATGAAGCAGGGTAAGAGGACAAGAGGGGGGCACATTCATTCATGCGTGCACTCATTTTTTTTTAAAAAGGTTTATTTTTATTTTTACATATGTGTCCGGTATGGCTATGTATATGTATTCTGTAGGTGTTTGCAGAGCCCAGCACTCCCCTCTCACCACCACCCCCCCCCCCCAGCTGGAGTTACAGCTGGTTGTGAACCACTTATATAGGTGCTGGGAACCAAACTCGGATCCTCAGCAAGAACAGTAAGTGCTCTTAACTGCTGAGCCACGAATGTATTCATTGTGTAAGTACTGAGATTGAATTGTTTTTCTAAGCACTGGACCAAGTGAGATTTGGAAGTGACATTTGAGGTCTGGGGTGTGAAAAAATGCATTGGTATTGACTGGGCAAGGGCTACAGTGGGAACTCTGTGGCCCACTCGTACGGGGAGGGTTTGAGGTGGTCACTGGGTAGTGTGTGATGACGGGGAAGGATCTCCCAGGTGTTTCCTCCTCTAGAGAGACACGTGCTTCTGGCTAACCAGGTTTATCCCAATCTATTGGGCTAAGAGAGGGAATAAAATGCAGCCAATGAGAATGTGAGATGTACTGTGTTTATCGAAAGAAGGAGTGTAAGGAAAATCTTAGGCTGAGACAGAAGTAGAGAGTAGGCAGAACCCCTCTAGACTCCCCCCAAAAACCAAATAGAATGGTTTAGCACACCCCATGGCTGTATGTTTTCTATTTTTGTGTCTGTGTGTGCACATAAGTGTGTGTGTTGCATTCACATGTGTGCTCATGCACATGGAAGCCAAAGGTCCCCATCAGCTAGCTTCCTCAATCACCTCCTACCTTCCTTACGGAGAGAGGGTCTCTCATTGAGCCTGGAGCTGACTGATCTGTCTAGCCTGGCTGGCTCCCAAGCTCCAGGAATCTCCTGTCTCCACCTCCCCACTGCTGGGGTCATGGGCACCAAGTTACCACACTTGGCTGTTCACATGTATGCTGAGGATCGGAACAAAGGTCTCATGTTCACATAGTAAGCCCTTTACCAGATGAGCCACTCCCCCAGCCCTGGTTGAACACTATTCTAACCAACAAAGATGGTTTACCTGGTTTAGTTTGTTCAGACTGTTGTACCAAATAACACCACAGACCAGGTGGTTTAAACAACAATTTATTTGAAATACTAGGAGGTGGGAAAGTTGATTTGATGTCTGGTAGACGCCTGCTTTTTCGAAGATGACTATCTTTCCCATGTTTTCACACAGACTCCACCCCACGATCTCGTCATCTCTCAAAAGCTCCTCTCCTTTCCCATCATGGTGAGGGTTAGGATTTCAGCATGGGAATGGGGAGGAGTGGGGCCCTTTAGTCCATATTCTCTTTGGATTTGACTGTCTCTGTATTGCAAGCTATGGTTATCTTGGGACCTAAATTCTCCCCCTAAATTTGTTACAGAATTTATATCGCAGTGTGTATATTATGTCACTGCGTTTGTTACATATTCCAAGTTGCTTTCCAAACAGTCCCAACTGTTTGGTTCCAGCATGCTGCTATATTTGGGTTGAGCACTGCTGGAGTGCCTCGAAGACTCACGAACCAGGCTTGAAACAGCACCGTGAAAGCTGTCACGACTCAGTCACCTCTTACTCATCCCTTGACTCACCATGGTCTGGCTTCTCCCCAGACCACTTCACTGAAACTGTGCCTGTCAAGGGCCTTGGAGCTAAAGCTAGCCCCAAGTCAGTCTGTCTCTGTCTCTGTCTCTCTCTCCCTCTCCCTCTCTCTTTGTCTGTCTGTCTCCCTCTCTCTCTGTTGTGGAATATTAGTTGAAGATGTGTTTCAGTTGTTTAGGCTGTGGAACATTTGTTTAATGATGTGTTGCATTCTTTTATGTTGCATTTGTTTAACTCTGTGAAGCTGTGTTACTTTGCCTGTCTAAAACACCTGATGATCTAATAAAGAGCTGAACGGCCAATAGCTAGGCAGGAGAGAGAAATAGGCAGGGCTGGCAGGAAGAAAGAATAAATAGGAGGAGAAATCTGGGAAGAGAGAGGGGGAAAATGAAAAGGAGGAGAAGAGGATTCCAGGGGCCAACCACTCAGCAACACAGCCAGCCATGGAGTGAGAAGTAAAAAAAGATATACAGAGATAGAGAAAGGTAAAAGCCCAGAGGCAAAAGGTAGACGGGATAATTTAAGAAAAGCTGGCTAGAAACAAGCCAAGCTAAGGCTAGGCATTCCTAAGTAGGAATAAGAGTGTGTATTTATTTGGAAGCTGGGTGGTGGGCTCCCAAAGGGCAGAGAATAAAAATAAATACATACCAATTACACCTCTCATTTGTCTTTTCAGAAGCATCTACTAGGCTGAGACTCCTCCGTGAAGGCCTCTGCTGGGTTTCCTCACCACCACAGCTCCTGTGCCGACATTTTGTTTGTGATCTAACAAATAAGTTTGCCTGAAGATCGGCGCTAAGCCACTAGTTAGCCATGGAGGCCAGGCAGTGGTGGCACACACCTTTGATCCCAGCCCTAGGGAGGTGGAGACAGGAAGGGATACGGCTGGGCAGCGAGAGGAATATAAGGCGGGAGGAGACAGGAGCTCAGCCCCTTTGGGCTGAGGATTTCGTAGAGGTAAGAACTGGTGGCTGGCTGCTCTGCTTTACTGATCTTTCAGCACTGACCCCGATATCTGGCTTCAGGTTTTTATTAAACCGGTCAGGATTTGTGCTGCAGCTCCTTTCTGGATTCCTTTGCACTCTCCATTGTACTCTCTCTAGCCTGCCTATTTCCACCCTCGGACCAATGGTCTGCTCCATCTGCAGACTCTTCTCGATCGATCTCAGACAGCCCTGCTTCCAGATACTCCAGCCTTCCATCAGGCAACCTCCACTTCCGCTTTCTCCCTGGTCCACATCCAACTCCTCTCTGGATAGACCAAGTCTGGTTGCAGGTCCTAAGCCCACTCTGCCATAATAGTATTGAGCACAAAATTCTTTATTCTCCTCCATAGGTATCTACATTCCCCATTTCAGTAAACGTACATCAAATACCCATGCAATTTACCAGAAATCTGGGCACCATCTCATACTCTTTCTCCACATTTAAACAACCCCTAATCTTTGTTTTGAGATGGGGTCTCATGTAGCCTAAGTTGGCCTTCAACTCTTGATCCTCTCTCAGCATGATCTTACTAATTTTGACTCTAAACATCTCTCAGATACAGCCATAAGTTTTGTATCTTCTGCAACCAGAAGTTCAGGTCCCCAACACTATCCCAAAATCTCCTAACTAGAGTCTTGCCTCTACTCTGGTTTTCTTCAACATCTTCTGGTCTCTGCAAGGACACTAAGCTTTCTCCAGCGTGCATCTAATCACAGCTTTCCCTAGCTCAGAACCTTGCAACATCTCCCCACTGTCTCAGACTAAAATCTAAGTTCCCTGTTTCTGAGCCAGAGATATGACCACATGTGAATTCTCAAGAATAATCACACAGAAAAAAAGGACAGTTCTACAGAGTTTAATTCACATGTAGAATTGAGTAGCCACATGACTATTACTCCAAGAAGTTCTCTTATTGAGATTGGGGAGTAGCTCAGTCAGCAGAGTACCTGCCTAACTTGAACAAAGCCCTGTGTTCAATCCCCAGCCTATCAGAAACCATACATGGTGGCGCCTGTTAATCTCAGGGCTTGGGAGGTGGAGGCAGAAGTATCATTAGTTCAAGGTCATCCTTGGGTGCAGTATAGTTCCAGATTGATCTGGGACAGAGAAGACCTTGACTAACTCTCTTACACTATCTGTAATTACATCTTTCTCCATCAACTCGTTTATTGTCAAAGAAACGGGATGTAAGCGCCTTTAATTCCAACGCTCCCAGCTCAGGAGGTAGAGGGCTGGAGGATCTCTTTGAGTTCGAGGCCAGGCTGATCTACAAAGTGAGTTCCAGGACAGCCGGGGTTGTCACGCAGAGGCCCTGTCTCAAAAAACCAGGAAGAAAGGAAGAGAGAGAGAGAGAGAGAGAGATAGAGAGAGAGAGAGAGAGAGAGAGAGAGAGAGAGAGAGAGAGAGAGAGAGAGAGAGAGAGAGAGAGAGAGAAAGGCTGTAATCACAACGACAAACAAAACCCCTTAAGGTGTCTGCAATGCCCCTCCCCGCCCTCCCCCGCCTCATCCTCCCATCCATCCCCCACCACCCCGTCCCGGCAACCAGTCACGCAACTAGTCTGACCCACCTAGCTCTTGGTGCGCTCTAAGCCTTCCTGCAATCGGCCCCTCACTCCCATCTCCCTTGGGGCAAACTGAGGCTTCTACAGTGATTCCCATCACCGTTTGACTCTGTGTAGTCTCCAGGTCATCTCTTCCATTAGACACCCACTTCTGGGCAACAGCTGTGTTTTCAACCGGGGAGTGACACAGCAAGCCACTTGCCGAGCTTCTCCAGCCTCTACCCGGAGGCCTGCAGCAGCGGATCGCCATTGAGCCACTCCTTGTCTCTGCCGAGTCCCAGCACGCACGCACGCGCGCGCGCGCGCAACTCGCACGCGGCTGCCCCGCCCCCACCCATTCACTAGGGCAACCGTTGCGGGGCGCCCGGGCCCTGATGTGGGATGGTAGGCCGCTGACATCCCCCCCCGCCCCCCCGCCCCGCTTTGGGCCCTGAGGTACCCCGGCCTGGTGGCCCCAGGCCGTTCCCGTCGGATGGCGGAGTGCTGTGAACGACGCCCATGAAGCCGGTGGCCCTAGTTGTGCTGTGGCTGTGGCCTTCGTCCCTGCTGGCGTATCCGAGTGAGTGATGGGCCGGGTAGAGATCCAGGTGCTCCCTCTCCCTGCAAAATTCCCGCCCGGTATCCCAGACGCTGGCCTGGGTGTGAGGTGTGCCACACTAGTCCCCATCCTGCTCGGCCCCTGGTTCCCAGGATGCTCAGCTCATAGGCTGGGCCAGGTGTGATCCGTCCTTAGGCTGGGGACTTCCCTTAGGGGGCACTGTTCACTGTCCAGGACACAGATCCGATGACGGAGTGCAGCCTGGGCTCACACACCTCACGTTTGTTGGAATGCAACCACAGTCATCCTATGTGCTGGCCATGGCTGCTTTCCTGCGTTAGAACAGCAGCTCAGGGCTTGCTGCACAGCTCTGGCTTGCAAGGTCTGAAATGTTTACCCTCTGGCCCTTGACAGTAAAAGACTGGCCGGCCCCTGAAGTAAAATTTGAAGGGAAGGTGTGTTGAGGAGAGGGGTGTGTCTCCTGGGTCTCTGGAAGGAAAGAGTTCAGCCAAAAGATGGCAACAGGAAGTAGAAGTACATTAAGCAAAGCACCCCAGAGCGAGACTGGAGTGAGCATCTCCAAAAGGGCCTAGCAGCACAGTGAGTGAGTTCTGTATTGTGGATTTAAAATACGTTTTTATGAATATTTATGAGGTAGATGGCATATTCCTAGGGTAAGGTTTCCTCTCCAATCATGGTAAATGGGATCTCTCTTTTAGAATATTTCTTCCCGTGTTCCTCTAGAAAAGCCCATAAAGAGGAGGCAGTTGAAGGCCCTTCCTTAACTGCACACATTTGGGGGAAATGCCCTGGCTCTTTAGTCTTTGATACAGTGGGCACAGGCTTGCTGCAGCTTGGAGGCAGTTTAACCACAGAGGGGCATCCGCAGAGGGGCATTCTGACTGTTAAGGGACACAGCTGCCCAGATACAGCTGTCATTGTCTTGGTTACCGCACATCTAACTGTTCTGTGTGTTTGTGCACATGCGTGTGGAGGTCAGAAGATAACCCTCGTTCTGTCCCTCAGGTGCTTGCCACTTTTTTTTTTTTTTTTTTTGAGATAGGGTCTCTCACTGACCTGAAACTTGCCAAATAGCCTAGGCTGGCTGGCCAGCAAGCCCTAGAGATCTAACTGGCTTAATTTTCCCAGTGCTGGAATTACCAGCGTGTATCACTGTGGTGGGTTTTTTTTTCCACATGGGTTCTGGGGATGGAACCCAGATCTTCACAAACACTTAACCTACTGAGCCATCTCCCCAGGCCCCTTGAACTCCCTTTTGAGACTGAGGGAGGTCCAGCTCATGACTGATCATAGTAGCTTGTCTCAAAAATTACAATTGGGCCAGTGAGATGCCTCAATGAGTGAACACGAGCCGGATGATCGAGTTCAGTCCCCAGACCCCACAGTGGAAGAAAGAAGCAATTACAACTCTGGAAAGTTGTCCTTTAACCTCCACAGGGGCATTAGAGCATGGGCCTGCATTCAAGTACACACACACACACACACACACACACACACACACACACACACACACACTCAGAGTATGTGAGTCTTCTTCTCTATCCCTGTTCTTAGGAAGGCCTTTGTCTTCAGGAACGACCCCTGGTGAGGGAGGATTAAGTTAGCAGCCAGTGATGCTCACCTCAATCCATGAAAAGAAAACAGGTTTAGCTTAAGGACCTTCTCAACCTTCTAGTCACTTGGTTACAATGCTGCAAGTTCACTTCAGGCTGTTTCAGTGTCCAAAGCTGTGACACTTGGGAGGATCTCTTAGACCTGCAGGTGGAGTGTTCTGACATTGTTTATTAATGGGGAGCATGACACATAAGTGGGGACTGTCCTGAGAGTGGCCTGTCTCTATCAACACACCATGATAGAAACATCCTGTCTGTCTCTTCTTTTTATTATTACATTTGTATTTGTGTGTGTGTGTGTGTGTGTGTGTGTGTTTCTGTGCGCGCGCGCGTGTGCGCGCGCGCATGCACACATGGGCATGGACCTACATGCACCACAGTGTGTGTGCCGGGGTCAGAGGACAACTTGCAGGAGTCCGTTCTCTCCTTGCCCCATGCGGGTTTGGGGGAACAGCTCAGGTCAGGCTTGCAGGGCAAGTGCTTTTACCTGCCAGGCTATCTCCCTAGCTTGAAATGCATTTGATGAGGCTTGCCCCTGCTTGCTGCTCGTTATTCAGGGGTTGCTAGACCAGCTGAGATGTCCTCCTTCATCTTCCCACCCCAAGCCATGTACGAACTCAGCTGAGATATGAAGAGCCAAGATGGCCTAGTTTTTCCAGGTTGTTGTTCTTGGTGAAATCTCATTTTCAATCTCTCTCTCTCTCTCTCTCTCTCTCTCTCTCTCTCTCTCTCTCTCTCTCCCCCTCCCTCCCTCCCTCTCTACCTCCCTCTCCCTCCCTCCCTCCCTCTCTCCCTCCCTCTCCCTCCCTCCCTCCCTCTCTCCCTCCCTCTCCCCCCTCTCTCTTTCACACACACACCCACACACACACACACACACACACACACACACACACACACACATCCTTTCTGTCTCCCCTTCCTCCTGTCCATTTTATCTTTTGAGACAGGGTCTCATGAAGCCCTGGCTGACCTTGAACTCACTACATAGCCAACAATGACCTTGAACTTCTGATATTTCTGACTTTACTTCCCCATTGCTGGTTATTACAGGTGTGTGCCTCCACACCGTGTTCATGTAGCACTGGGATCCCAACCTCCGCCTTCATGCATGCTAGACAAGCACTCTACCAGCTGAGCTTTGTGCCCAGCCCCCACATTTCTTTAAACCATGGCAACTGGATTCCAAGAATTGCTTTGCAATTGATTACCAATGTCCTATGGGCAGGACAAGTCACTCGGAGCCAGCCCGTCTTCTGGGTTGGATGACTTGAGCCGAAGGACATAAAAAATTATGAAGCACACAAAGATATTAAATGAGATTTTTTAAAAGCTAGAATGCTGATTAATATGAATATAAGTACTTGTTTATCCATCAGCAAAAGCTACATTTTAAAATTAATAGTAAAACGTTAGAGGAAAGCTGCTGGATGAGTGACGAAGTGGTCCCTTTGGCAGTCACTCTGAGTATATTCCAGTCATGAGGTCCAGCAACCTGGTTAGGCTGGAAATACTACAGCAGCTCATTTTGTTCTTTATAGGCATAAGTTCATATAGCACTTAACCCCGTAGAACTCAGGAAGTCTGTTTTCTGTGAGTCCACTGCATGACATGTATGGAAAATACAAGCAACTTGTTCTCTGAGGTTATGGTCTTGGGGTCGGTCTGGCTCACTAAAGAGTGATGGATGCTTGGGTTTTAGCCCCGTGTACACAAGTTCTTTATACGATAAGGCTAACCTGGTCTTTTGTGCTTGTGGTTGTAAGGATCTTTTAGTCACTAGTATATAAAACTTCTGGTTAGGTTTTGGGTGTCATTAACAGTGTCTATGTCAAGGCTGGCAGGACACAGTGAAGATGTATGATGAGTTCATTGTGTGTGTGTGTGTGTGTGTGTGTGTGTGTGTGTTTATCTTATCAGTAGAAACATGTCCTACTTTTTTTTTTTTAATGAGCATTGACTGGTGTTTGCCTGCATGTATGTCTGTGTGAGGGTGTTGGATCCCCAGGAACTAGAGTTACAGACAGGTGTTAGCTGCCATATGGGTATTGGAAATTGAACCTGGGTCCTCTGGAAGAACAGCCAATGTTCTTAATGCCTGAACCATCTTTCCAGACCCCTAGTTTGCTTTCTATTGTTGTGATAAACACTATGACCAAATGCAATTTAGGGAGGAAAGGGTTTATTTCATCTTACAGCTCACAGCCCAGCATGAAGGGAAGTCGGGGCAGGAACTCGAGGCAGGAACTGAAGAAGAGGTCATAGAGCAGTGCTGCTTACTGGCTTGTTCAGCCTGCTTTCTCTTCTCTTCTTTTCTTCCTTCCTTCCTTCCTTCCTTCCTTCCTTCCTTCCTTCCTTCCTTTCTTTCTTTCTTTCTTTCTTTCTTTTCTTCTTCTTCTTTTTTGAGACAGGGTTTCTCTTTGTAGCTTTGGAGCCTGTCCTGAAACTCGCTCTGTAGACCAGGCTGGCCTCGAACTCACAGAGATCCACCTGGCTCTGCCTCCTGAGTGCTGGGATTAAAGGCATGCACCACTGCCACCTGGACCAGCCTGCTTTCTAATAGCACCCAGGACTCCCAGCCCAAAGATGGTACCACCCACAGTAGCCGGCCCCTTTCACATCAGCCATCAATCAAGGAAGTGTCCCACTGGCAAATCTAAGCGGGCATTTCTGCAATTACAGCTCCTCTTCCCAGACGACTCTAGGTGTGTCAAGTCGACAAAAATCAACCAGGACCAAACCTTTCCGCCTTTCCTATCCCTGTACATATTCAGAGCACACTTGCCTTAGGTATTTCCTTTTCGTGTACCAGCAGCCATGTCAGAGACCATGGTGACCCTGCTTCATCTGTCGGGCAGTTTGGAAGACAAAGAGACAGTTGCTTGCGTGTACCTGCTCTGTTCCTCTTTCTCTTAACCTCTCTATCGCTTTTTTTTTTCTGGTGTTCCAGATTCCTTCTTTTATCATTTCCATTCTGTTTTATTTTTATGTTTAGTATGTGTGTTATTGGCCTGCATACCACAGCCATGTGGGAGGCCAGAGACAACTTTCTGGAGTCGGTTCTCTCCTTCTACCATTCCCTGGATGACTGTGGGCTTCGAACTCAGGCACCTTGACCAGCTGAGCCATCTTGCCAGTCCTAGGGAACTACATTTAGTCATTTTCCTTTAGGGTAGGTTTTCTGATCACTTCTCCTGTTTTTTCCTTGGTTGTCCTTTCATCCCCAAGAGATCTTTCCCTGGGATGTGGAATTCTGGGTTAATTATTCCTCCACTTTTGCTGGCACTCATAATATTTCCTTCCAACCTCATGACTTCAGATTAGAATTAAACTTGTCATTCAATTTCCCCCCAAATGTAAGTTGTTTTTCCTCTTGCTCTATGTACGTGT